ATATCGAATAATTTAATTTGTAATTAATAAGTATGTTGTAATTAAAAAAAATCAAGCTACTTATTTATGTTCTGTTATTGACAAAGTTGATATTGAAACGAATATTATCAATGAGAATGATTTTATTATAAATTTTACTATAAAATTTTGTAATGAGATCAATTTCAGTATTTTGTATAAATTGATTATATCATTAGAATTTATTAATTACCACTATTGAATCTAAAATTAATTTTATAGTATCAGTATGTGATAATGTATTCATAAGTCGTATTTATCATCGATTGATTTCCACATTTTTTAAAATCTTTAACGACGATTATTTGGAACTGATTACTATGTTGGAAAAGGAAAGCGAAGTAGCTTTTCTAATTGCAGGCCGCACCTATCATCAATAATGAATTGCCAACATCCTCCATGTTCTTTACTGACTAATCGACGATATATGTGTTCTTCTATATTTGGATCACAGATGACTAAATTCTGTCTATAAAGTGTGTGAATCATCGGTGCACCGTATTCTCCCAAAGAGTTATTTGTCCTAAACGTTAATGAATCATAAAAAAAGAATACAGTCTATCGTATCGATATGCAGAGTTTTTTCAGATATAAACATTACAGTTACATATATTGAGTATACAAGTGTGCCACGAATAGTCGTGAAGAGAAGTATATTTTTATTCTTTTATTTTATATTTTGGTATAAGTTAAAATATATTAGTTTAACAAAATGTTTCACATTTTACTAAAAAATAATTTTTTATTAAAAATTAGGAGGCTATTCTTGTTTTTCTAAAATGAAAAGAAAAATCTGCATTTTTTTAACGATATTTATGTTTATGTTAGTTTTTAAATAACAAAAATTACTTTCAACTTTTTGAAAGAAAAGTAATATTTAGTTGTATCGTATGAATATAACACCTAAGACTAAATCAATGATCTGTAGATAATATAATCTCTAATATTAAGTAAGATTATTAATAGAAAGAAGTACCTACATACTGTGACATACTAAACTTGGTCAGAAAGCAAAGATTTTATACAGAACAAAAGTATGTCAAGGAACAAATAGTTATTCGAAATTTGTAATCTTAATGATTAAAATACAAAGATGAAAATATTGAAAAGTTTAATCGCCGTGGGCTTAAATAAACCACGTTACAGTTAGCCGTGTAATAAATGGAACCATTTGTGAATAAAAAAAAACTCATTTATATAATCTTATTTAAACTTATTTAATATTTCATCATCAGTAAAAAAAAATAAATCTGCCAAGTGTTTTCAAGCGATTTGTGATATTCGCCCCAAATTACAGTGAGTTATTGGCGAGCTATATTTCAAAGAGGGAAAGATATTGTTGCGACAAGTCCGTGTCGGAACCCCTATTTGTTACAAAGTCAACAGGCAACAGATCGCAGTGAATACATCAGTTAATCACCTTCGTCGTGACTTACCTGCTTAAATTTCATTCTCATACTTCGAATGTTTCAATGGATACCGTTGACAAACTGTTCGGAAGAAACAATAGATTTAGAGCGTTCAGCAGTTTGTCAGCAATTTTTTAAAAGCACCAACGTTGAATGCAATGTTACATGATTTCTATAACAGTAACATTCCTTTCTTAACGATGGCTTCATTGTATTATCTGCATGATGTATATTTTTTCCACAAATTATTAGGTAATTATTTCTAAATCTAAATTCACAACAGTGATAGCAGCGATTTAATATTTCAGCGATGCTAAAATTATCTTCATGAAGATCCTTGAAGAATAATTAAAATATTTGCATAAACAAAAAAATGAACTGTATAATTGCATATCTTATAAATCTTT